TTATAGAGTTTAGGGTCTAGAAATTGTTTATGGAAAGGCTTGATTTGACTTCAGTGGGAATAGTGCTGGACATTATCTTGGCAGTCACAGTAAGCACTTGTGCTGTCTCAGGGGAAGTTCCTTACTGGCTTTTTACTTTGAGCCATGGTGTAGTCTCATCGGCGTGTTTGAACCTGCAGATTCTGGGAGATGGTGACAGAGTACATAGAGGATAACCTGTCATATTTCAAAGGACTATGATGTTTAATTCAACACAGCAAGACAGTGACTTGTCTTATGCAACAAATCTGTTGTCAGCAAATACTAAATTCTAAGAAAAAATGAGAATTTTTGTAATTGTACATTTTTATATTCCAAAGACTGGATTTAATACTATATTGTTTTCTTCATAGGTTTGCTGAAAATGGAAAACACTGATAGAGAGAAACAAACAGAATGAAATTTGGCCTTTCCAGCTGTACGAAGCCTTTCCAGCAGCAAGAGGTGAGTTGGCATCCCTGCAGGGTGAACAGGCTGCCTGCAGTGCTCTACAAGTCTCATTTTCGCGGTTGTTCTGCTCTGCAGGACGATGCCGGACACCACCCGGTTAACTTAGAAAAGAGCTATTTTGCTAGAGTGCGTGGATCTAGAAGATTTGGCCCATTTTATTTTGCTAATAATGCTACTCAAAGGATGAACAACATGACAGCTACACTCAAATGCTGCACAGGGTTACACGAACGTAAGTCGACACAGAGAAAGGCAGCTGGTATTTTCAAGAGTTTCTTGAAGAGAAACAATGCAGAATTCAGAAAACCTGTGAAGAGGAGGTCTTGAGAACTGAAAGAGCTTTACAACAGCATCAGATGAAAAGATCAAGATAATTGAAAATGTGAGGCAAAGGCATATACTTGGTTCTTCGGAAGCAAGAAACAAAAACCATTTGAGTGTTCATTAGGTCAAGTCTTCAGTGCTTGACGTGTTGCTTTGACGCAGGCTTGGTTAAGGCTTGACAGATGGAGGAAATGTGAAGATAACTTAAAGA